TTCCCTGTCCAGATGGCAGGAGCGGAGTAGAGCCTGTGCTGTGTTGCTGAAGACAGAGGAGCCTCTGGATACGGCCAGAGATGGGGGTTGAGCCTCTGGGCCCTAATTTCCCCCCTCACTTCCCCCAGTAGCCGACTTGAAGTAGCTTGTAGCGGGGTTGGGGTGGGACCTCCCCTTCCCCCCACTTCTCATCCCCCGGACTCTGACCCTTCTGATTTTTAAAAAATATTTTTCTTTTGCCTTTTGGATAGAGACTCCGAGGGGGTGGTCATGGCATGAGCTGGGCTCCAGGCTGAGCACAGACCTGTGAGCTTGGGACAAGAGGCCAGGGAAACCCCCTGCTCACTTGCTCATTCTCAGACCGCTGAAGCACTTTAACCCCCATGAGGGTACGGTACAGCTTCTAGATTGTTTCACTTTAGTTCTCAAGTTTTTAGGATGACTCGCAGTGTGTGCTTGTATTTATGAAAGCCAGTGGGTGATGGTACCTAATCCCTCTGGTCGAGTGCGTCTAATCAAAGCCTCATGCTTTTGTCAGCTCCCCTGCAACCCACCCTGGGTGGTGGGTGGGAGTGGGGAGGGTAAGGAGAGAGATGGTGGTGCTGGGCATGGACAGCCTGGTCCCAGAGGTGAGGGGGCCAGGGCTGCTGCCATCCTGCCCTGGTGGAGGCGGGGAGGGGTAGGAGAAGGGGTGGGCATGGTGAGTTGAGATTCAGAAAAAGGGGGTCACTTAGCAGCAGAGATTGGTGGGAGGGAAGGAGGGAAGGGACAGAAGCTAGACAACGTCATTTGGGAAGTGGTCAGAGGGGGGTAATAGGAAGGGAGACTGCTGTGGGTTTGAAGCTCCTGGGTTGGTGTGATGGGGTGGACATGGGTGTAAGAGGCTTATAAGTCGTTATAAGCACAGGTCTGGTTTGACACTGCCTTCTGCAGTATTGTGAGGAGCGTGGGGAAATGGACAGACATGATGAATGGTGCGGTCCTTCACCTCACAGCCTCTGTGTAGACGTGCGCTGGGGGGCAGGGCCTCTCGTGTGACATGCACATATGGGGCTATTGAGGCCACCCCTGAGGGGTCAGTGGGCTGCAGAGTCCTGCCTGGGCCCTGCTGGTGCAGGGCAGGGAAGGAGCGAGGAGTGGCCGGCGCTGTCTCCTCACCCTGAGGGGAAGAGATGGGCAGGAGCCTGAGCGGGGCTGGGAGGAGCCGCCTTCTCCCTCCCCGATCTCACTAGGGTCTGTGTTACTTTTGAAAAGGTGTGGGCACCCGTTCCCCCTCCCAGGGCCCTGCGGGACGAGGGGAGGTCATTGGCTCTGTTTTCTGCCTCTTGGTCCCCCACCCCCCACCCCATGTATCATAGGGACTTTCACCTCAAAATCTTTCTAAGCAAAGTGTGAATAGGATTTTTACTCCCTTTGTACAGTATTCTGAGAAACACAAATAAAGGACAATGTGTTCCTGAGTCTGGCCTCTGCTTCCTAGAGGGCCCTGGGGGAAGGGGCAGGGGAGTGGGAGCCTCGGTTGGCCCGTCTGCCTGGATGGTGGAAGGGCCCTGGGACCGCTGCTCTCCCTGTGGTCGGTCCCCAGCAGAGCAAGGAGTTGTGAGGGACCAAAGCAGCCACAGGCGGAGCGCAGAACTCTGTTCGAACCTCGGGACAGAACTTCTACCTCCGGACTCCACAGGCTGGGCTGGCAGAGAGAGGGCTTACGCCATGGCCAGGGAGGAGGTCAGTCCAGCAGAGGCTTCAGGAATGAAGTCGGAGTCCGAGGGGTGCCCCATCTTTTCCTCTGAATCCCTCCCCCGTTCTGACTCTCCCCCGAGTCCTCCCTCGCTGGGAGGGCTGCACCTCCTCCTGGCCTTTGAGTCTTAGAGGGTCTTCATGCTTCTTTCCCCCAGGACTTCTAGTTAGGCTCACGTGGCCAGAGAGGGAGTCCTTTAGCAGGGAACTTATCTCTTTGAATTCTTATCTCCAAGGTTCCTAGCTTTTCAGTTTATTCTGAGCAGCAACTGTCTGCTCTTCCCAGGACAGGTACAAAGTCCTGGGCGGAAGGGAGGAGCTGCCCCCGGCAGCCTGGGCTCCTCTCTGGCCCTGGTCCAGCATCACAGTCGGTGGGGTGGGTGTCAGGAAGAGTACAGGGTCTTTACCGAAGTCCACCTACCACCACCCCTGCTGCCCCAGAGTGAAGCTCACACCGCACTGGGAGGAGAAATGCCGCCACTTGGGCTCAGTCCTAGAGGTGGGGTGCCCTGGGAGCTTCCGTGGACCCGCAAGAGTGCAGTCAGGTGAGGGCTTGGGCCACATCAGCAATAATTCGGTTCAAATCCCAGCTCTGGTGCCTACTGGCTTTATGGCCTTGTCAAGTTACATCTCTGGGCTTCAGATCCTTCCTCTGTGTATAAAGATGATACTTCTGCCCTAGCCGGTTTGGCTCAGTGGATAGAACACTGGCCTGCGGACCAAAGGGTCCTGGGTTCGATTTCGATCAAGGGCACGCACATACCTTGGTTGCAAGCTCCTCCCTGGCCTGGGTCCTGGTCGGGGCACATGCAGGAGGCAACCAATCGATGTGTTTCTCACATCGTGTTTCTCTCTGTCTTTACCTCTCTCTTTCACTTTCTCTAAAAAGCAATGGAAAAATATCCTCGGGTGAGGATTAACATAACAAAAATAATGATGCTATGAACTGGTAAATGTGAAAATATCTCTAAAATAAAATAAAAAAGATCTTACCTCTTAATGTTATTGTGAGGATTAGCACAATGCCTGGCATGTAGCAAACACTAAATATGTGGTAGACATATTAGTATTATTATTAATTACTGCCGTCGTCATCTCCTGAAATGTTCTTTCGGAACGGAGGGAGGCAGGGGCCAGGAGACAGGCAGGCTCACGCTCTGAGTATCTCTGACCAAGGGATTGTCTCTGACCCAGGAGTGGAGCCAGAGGTCCCTCCCCGGGAAAGGAGGGGTGAAGAAGACAGGTGGCATCGGCCTGAGAGGGCCACGTGGGAGCTTGTGTGAGGGGGGCAGCGAGGCTGAGTCCTCTTTTTTGTTTTGTTTTATGTTAATCCTCACCTGAGGATATTTAGAGAGAGTGGAAGAGAGGAGGAGAGACAGAGAGAAACATCGATGTGACAGAGATACTTCAATTGTCTGCCTCCCGCGCACACCCCAACTGGGGCTGGAGATCGAGCCTGCAACCGAGGTACACGCTCTTGACTAGAATCGAACCCGAGACCCTTCAGTCCGAGGGCCGATGCTCTATCCACTGAGCCAAACTGGCTAGGGCTGAGCCCTTTTTATATTTATTAATTTATTTATTAATTCATTTTTTCTTTATTGATTAAGGTATTCCATATGTGTCCTTATCCCCCCACTGCACCCCTACCCCCCCACTCATGCCCTCACCCCCCTGTTGTCTGTGTCCATTGGTTAGGCTTATATGCATTCATACAAGTCTTTTGGTTGATCTCTCCCCCTTACCCTGAGTCCTCCTTTTGGACCCTGTCTGTTTCTACAGGTGTTAGTTACTGTTGCTCTTGAGTCATCAGTGTTACCTGCCATTGCATGGCATCTGGGTAACTGGTTCTGGTTAGATCACTCTCATATCCCTAACACAGCCGTAGTCATTGCCTATTGGCACTTGGTTGGTACCACCCATATTCTATTTATTCCAAACTCATTGAATTGCATGGCCTCGTGTGCCTTGTTTGGCACCATTCCCTGGCCCAAACTCACCTAATCAACTAGCATATATATCAGTTAGAGATAAAGCTATACATACACCAGCTGCTCCCTGTGTTCAAAAGGAGAAAAGGGTTTCTTACCTTTGGCCTTTCCGGTCTCCAGCGCAGCCATAATGTGGCTTATCTAAAGGTCTGATAGGTGGGGCACCTAGCTCTACCCAGCTTTCCAGCTCCTTTCAATTCCCTTGTTATAGCTTCCTCAGACACAGTGGCCAGGAATTACACAGAGATTTTACAAAGGGGATTCTCACAACCTCCATATCTGGTGAGTAGTTGAGGACAGAGGAGAGGTGGGTGGCACCTGCCATGGGCCTGTGGGCCCTGGGCACACTGCCTTTCCAGACAGACAGCCAGAAGAATTCCTAGGTTGGGAGTGAGTGGAGAGCTGGACACCATGATGGGGACAGGGACAGGAAAGGAAGCCTGGGTGAGCAGGTGCCTGGCCAGCCAGAGGGACTGAAGGGAAGGTGGTCAGAGGAAAGATGGGGAAGTGGAGCCCTGGTCC